GAATCAAACCCGGTTCTCCCAGATTAGAGACTGTGCACTTAACCACTACAGCAAATTGGCTCTCACTTGGATTTTAAAGAATTTAAAGGAGAGCCAGTTTGGTGTAGTGGTTAAGTGCGCGGACTCTAATCTGGGAGAACCGGGTTTGATTCCCCACTCCTCCACTTGCACCTGCTGGTGTGACCTTGGGTCAGCCACAAGTTTTCTCAGAGCTCTTCTCTCAAGGGCAGTTTCTGTCAGAGCTCTCTCAGCCCCACCTACCTCACAGGGTGTCTGTTGTGGGGAGGGGAAAGGAAAGGAGTCTGTAAGCCGCTCTGAGCTGAGACACCTTTAGGTAGTGAAGGGCAGGGTAGAAATCCAATCCAATTTAAACAAATATGATTATGCACATTATGAGCCTTGGAGGAAAAAACAGGAGATAAAACTCTGTTTGAACCACTGGCTGAGAAAGCTCACAGTCCAAAGGCCGGTATAACAAAAAAAACATAAAAACAAAAGAGCCAACCAAACTTTGAAGAAAGGAAATAAAAGGGGAGAAAACAACATGCCGAAAGCATTGCCAAGTAAAAAAAATTATATGATCGCAAATGAGCTTGTCTGGCCATTCTCTGTCCAACATTTCCAGACCCAAATACCCTTAGTGGATACGGGAAGGAAATGCACAATGCAAGAAAAGCCAGAGAGTTATGTTTGCTGTTTCCTCCATGTTACAAAAAACCTGCAGTCGAGAGCATGTCTGGGAATGTGCTTATACTCTGGCAGCGTTTTACTTTTTTAAAACCGGATTTTTAATCAAATGCTCCTCGACTGGAATGTTTGGAGGCAGAGTTAATGAAATACCCCATCCCGGGAACTGCAGGACTACAGTGGATGGGGCTTAATTCTGGGACATATTCTTCTGGCTGGAAAAATCCATACTGGTCCATTGATGTCTATGAGCGATGATTAACGAAACGGAATCCCCATGTCCAGAAGTCCCTCAAATATCTATTTACGCTCTGCCTTTCCTGCCCTCATCAGGGCCACCAAGACGGCTCACAAATTAAAAGCAAACATTAATAAAAACACGTCTTAAAAGAACCGCCCGATCTCAGAGGGCGAGGACAACAGGCTTGTAAGGGAAGATGCACGCCCTGAATCCTTCCGGTGTGCTAGTTCTAAGCAATACAAGGCTTTGAAAGTCAAGACCAGTCCCACGAACTGTGCCCTGAAGTGAACCTGGAGACTCACACTCCCCTGTGCCAGACCTCTTGCAGCATCATGCAGAATTCGCAGGGAATTAACACGGAACGTAGCTGAATCATAAAATGTAGATGTTTTGTTCAATCTGTTTTGTGATTTTAAGAATGCATAGGCCACTCAGCAATTTTAAATATTGCGTATTTCCAAAAACGTATTCGATTCATGTACATTGTTGTAACTGATCTCGTGCTGGCCACGAACCGTAATAATAAATTTGATTAGATTTGAACCTGGAGCCAGTGTAGATGGGTCGAGATCAGTGTTCCCTCTAAGCTGTGGAATCTTGTGGGCAAAAATTCTATGAGCTACTGGGATTAAAGTTGTGAGCGAGCGATTTGACTACTGCATAAATTAGTTTGCTCTGGAGCCCTCCTTCCTGAACTAAGACAAAAATGTGTGAGCCGGCGGCTAAAAAACTATGAGCTAGCTCACACTAACTCAGGTTAGAGGGAACACTGGTCGAGATGGGAAGATGACCCGTTCCAGTCACCATCTTGGCTGCAGTATCTGAAGAAGTGAGCAGTAACTCGTGAAAGCTCCTACCCTGCCACAAGTGTTGTTAGTCTTCAAGGTCCAGAACCAAACAAAGGTTAGTGAAAAGGAGGGCCAATATTAAAACCTTTCCATAAAAAGAGGTACATGTATTTATTGAATCTATACTTTGTATATATTTCTGATTGTGTTTATGTGAATATAATTATTAACCATCTTGCCACATATGTATGACCTCTGAGGAAGGCCTATTTGGCCGAAACGCGTAAGGTCAACTTTTTAAGCCCTTGATATTGTTATGTTTTATATACATTGGTTGTACTTGGGCCCCTATATATGTTTTACATTTGTTATTATCAATAAATACATATACTTCTTTTTATGGAAAGGTTTTAATATTGGCCCTCCTTTTCACTAACCCTTGTTTGGTTCTGATTGTTAGGTTCAGTTTTTTTCCCCTTTTTGTTTCTGCTAGTTAGTCTTCAAGGTGCCACTGGACCCTGGCTCTCTTCATTACCTGAACTGAATGTTTAGGAGCCCCAGCTCTCCTATGTGTTCTGCCCTCTTCATGATCAATTAACCTACACAGCCTGGCTTGTTACCTATCAGCGCCGAGAGATGAAACCGACACATGAGCCATTGGAAAAGTGCACGGTTGCCTGCCAGAATTCTACTTTAGAGCCCGGCAGCCCTACATACAGGATGCAAAGGCAAGAAAAGCCCCTGGACAAGCCATTTCCATGACTCGCGTATGGGCATGTGGTATCACAGAGAGCATGTATGTGCTCAAGCATCCAATTCTTGCGATGTCTGCATTATGCAATGCAGTATGTAAGCACATGTTGTGAAAGCCTTGCGCTGTGAGTAGAGATGTGAAGGCCCAGAAAAAAAACAGAAAAATTCGGGGGGGGGGGGAACGTTTTTCCCCTGAAGCCTTTCCCCCCAAAAAAAAATTGAAAAAAGAAAAGATTTTTTTTTATTATGGACCATTTTATTTTAACATGATGAATAAAATATTGTAAGACGAGGTGTTCAAATATTTTCCAAATCATTTCTAAAATGATTCCTCTTCACTCAGGGTGGATATACATCGCTGGAAACTGTTGGTGGATCGGCAAAGTAGGATGACTCTGACTGACGTATGTAACCTTTTATGGAGGAGCATTTAAGTATTGTTGTCTGGCACCAAATTGATTTTTATCATCCTTGAGACTTAGTTACATGGACACATCTGGAAGGTTAGAAACGAGAAGAACAAACTGTGGAATGTTCCCCACCACGAGATGTATCTCAAAAATTGATGCCAAATCAGTAATGGCTGTGATAGACCACATGTTCACCCACTATTACTATTATTAACATCGGTGGTAGATGGCTGGCCCTGCTTGGAGATCGAGCCACCAATGCGGTGAAATGCCGGAATACTGAATCGGGTTTTAGTATTACATCTTTCGCACACCACTTTTGATATACTGTATGAACAAACAATACCGCGAGCACTTTAGTGTGAATTCTCTATTTTAAGAATGTTTTAACTTGTTTATAGTTGTTTTATGTGGATCTGGCACATGGCGCCGAGTAATATGTGAGACGCCCTGAGCCGGTTCACGGGGAGGGCGGGATAGAAATACAACAAACAAACAAATAAAAATATGTATGGTGTCAGATTAATCTAATTTCTGTGCACTGAGGACAAGCAAAGTCCTAGAATACAAACTGAACTCTCCAATGCAAGAACAAGATGCATTTCTTCCTTTAGGAGGTGCTATTGTCATAAGAAAAGAAAAAGGTTGCAGTTTTGTTTTTTGCATGTGGGTGGGTATTCTGTTTGTAATAATTGTTTG